TCAGGAAAGTCCTCCTGAGACTCTTAACTCCAATTAATCATTCAAAAACCAAAAGTGGCACTGTGGCTCAAAGTGGTATAGAGCTAGCCTTGAGTAAAAGAGCTTAGGGATAGAGCCCAGGCCCTGAGTTCAAGCCTTACAACTGACTATATATATATATTGCAAGCTGGCATCAGTGGCGCATGCCTGTAATCCTAACTACTCAGGAGGCTGAGATCTAAAGATTGTGGTTCAAAGCCAACCTGGGCAGAAAAGTCTATGAGATGCTTATCTCCAATAAACTACTTAGAAGAAGCTGGAAGTAGCACTGTGGCTCAAGTGTTAATGCTGGCCTTGAGCACAAAGAGACTCGAGGACAATGTCTAGTCCCTGAGTTCAAGCCCCAGGACTGGCAAAAGAATAATAATAATAATAAGTTTACAGCCTGAAGCTATGCATCTTCCTTCCAATTTGTCCATGAAAGAACAATGTTGTAGAAATCAGACTCCCTGAGACCCCAGAGGGTCTGACCTCTTCAGTAGCTTTCTTTGCCCTCCTGGTATATCAAGTAAGGCAGCCAAGAATGGCCCTGTGTCTCCAAAGTTCTCTTACATGATAAGAAGTCAAGACAGTCATGACAGTGAGGACCTGGGGTCTGTTGAAGGCCATCAGATATTGGCTGCATTTGAAGGGTTTTACACAGAGGGCAGAGGGTGGGTTTGAAGTCAGGCAAGAGCCTAGAACTGCAATCAGACTGTGTTGATTGGTGCCTCGTTTTACTCATCACTGGAGTAAACTGAACAAGCGCTGAGCTCCAGCCTGTCTCTTCAGTAAAGTGGAGCTAAGAAGTGTGTAGGAGACAGGGAAAGCATTAAATAAGATGTTATAAAGGAAAATCCAGTGTGTGCAGCTGGGGCTGAAAGGATAATGGCTGCTACTACCCAGCCTTAGAACAGATGTGTGTGTGTGTGTGTGTGTGTGTGTGTGCGCGTGTGTGCGTGTGTGCGTGCGTGCGTGTGTGCACACACACACACACAATGAACTAGATGAGCCTGGAAGAACCCAGTAAAGAAGCTGTGGCTTCTTCCAGTATATATAAAGTAGGACTTGGCAGGGCACAATAGGGTGCCCCCCCATCAAGGTCTTTCTACAAGGTCTTTTCTGAGGCTCTATGCATTTTTAGTTGTTCATTGTTGGACATTTAAGACAGAGCCTAATCTTGAGACGTTGGGCTCTGCTTGTCTGCTTTTTGGTCAGGTTGACTCTTAGCACCCAGTAGATGTTGATTGCCCTTTCAAAAGGGATTCCTTTCAACACTTTAATAATACAGAAATGAGAACGCTTAGCTGGGAGAATGCTGAGCCAGGTGTGGTGCATGCCCATAACCCGCACATTCTGAAGGTGGAAACAGGAGGATTATGAATTCAAGGCCAACCTGGGCTCTATAGCAAGTCTTTGGTATAAAAAGTAAATAAACAGCAAAGAAATGACATCATTTGAACCCATCACCCCCCAGCTGGGATTCAGGCATTAAATTAGCAGGTGTTTCTCCTGCAAACTAAAGGAGGCCAAGATCCATTTGCTTAGCCCTGGAGGAGGAGAAGAACAAACACTGGGTCCTTCGAGATCAAGAAGGAAGGGACAAGAGAGGAAACCAAGGGTTGGAGACACAATCACTACCCATCAGTATGTCCATCAAGGTTAGCTGAGCTGTGGGGCTGAGAAGGCAGTTGGGCCACCTACCCACAACTGGAATAGACCCGGTCTTCGACTTGCTTCCTGGGGTTGATGCTTCTCATACCTCTAGGGACAGAGCTGGTGCACACAGGGCATATAGTACATGCCAACTAAATCATAGCAGTTGCTCAGGACGGTTTATGTTATGTGTATCTTGTGAAATCTTTCCCTTTGGGGAAACCTGGAGAAGATTGGTTGAAGCCAAAGAAAGGGGAGCTCTGCCAGCAGAACTTTACAGCAGGCCTGGCATGATCCTGTGAAGAGTAGAACATTAGAGGATGTGGTTAGCTGTTCTATGTCATGGTAGGGCATTGGGGAGGGGGGAGTTGAGAGGTGCACCCCTGCCTGGTCAGTCAAATTCTGACAGATGATGGATATCTTGCCAGACTGATGGCACTTCCCAGGGCCACACCACTGACGTCTGGAGAGAAGGTGGGTGCTTTGCCTAGGGAGAGGTCAGGGCACCAGCCTGATATGTTAAAGGACCTGGAGAAGACCCTCAATGGGAAAACCCTTTGTCAATTCAGAGGATCCCAGGGGGCTTCTGAAATACTCCATTTGAAACAGAAGAGACCCAGAGCCTCCGTCCTCACACACTATATTCCAGGACATTGTAAACTGGAGGGCCAGTCTTTCAGTATCAGGCAGCTACTGGTTATTCTGGACATGTTCGCATTCAAATAAGGGACAACCTTAGGAGATGTGTTGTCCATGAACTTACCAATGGGAGCAAGGTCGGTAGAGACCCCTATACCAGAAGTTTTGTTTTTTTTGCCAGTCCTGGGGGTCGGCACTGATCCTGAGCCTCTTTTGCTAAAGGCTAGGGCTCTACTACTTGAGCCACAGCACCAATTCCAGTTTTTTCTGTTTATGTGGTACTGAGGAATTGAACCCAGGTCTGCATGCATGTGAGGCAAGCCACTCTACCACTAAGCCACATTCCCAGCCCTATGCTAGAAGATTTAACAGATAACTTTGAGGTCTTGGGATGTGGCCAAGGACTTTGATGTAAGGTGGATTTTGTAGTCTATTGAGGTAGCCCCTTTGCCAGGGAGTATCCAGACTTTTCTCTAGGGGGCTGCCTAGAAAAGACAGTGCTGGTGGCTCACGCCTATAATCCTAGCTACTCAAGAGGCTGAGATCTGAGGATCATGATTCAAAGCCAGCCCAGGCCGGAAAGTTCATCAGACTCTTATCTCCAAATAATCACTAGAAAACTGGAAGTGGTGCTGTGGCTCAAGTGGTAGAGCTCTAGCCTTGAGCTGAAGAGCTCAGTGACATCACCCAAACCCAGAGTTCAAGACCACAACACAGACACAGATACAGACATACACACAGAGGGAAAAAAAGAAAAGATAGTGCTGACAAGAAAGCAGTCATTATCTCTGAGTAATGTTGGAGGTAGAATCCTGGTAGCTCCATGGTGGTCCCTCCTACATTGAGATTTTGGCTTTCTTTTTTGTTTGTTTTGTTTGGTGCACTGGACAGAACCCTGGAGTTGGCTTGGCAGGCATCCAAGATCTTTCCCTTTCCTCTTTTTTTTTTTTTTGTCGGTCGTGGGGCTTGAACTCTGGGCCTGGGACAGTGGTCCCTCAGCTCTTCAGCTCAAGGATAGCATCTAACACTTGAGCTACAGTGCCACTTCCGGTTTTCTGGTAGTTTTTATTGAAGATAAGAGTTTCACGGACTTTCCTGCCCGGGCTGGCTTTGAACCGTGATCCTCAGATCTCAGCCTCCTGAGTAGCTAGGATTACAGGCGTGAGCCACCACCGCCTGGCTCCCTTTCCTCTTTTACCTGTCCCTTGGGCATAAGCATCATCTTCCTCTTGCTCCCTTCACAGAGCAATAGAGAGAGTGGGGCCACCTGTGGCTGGACCCCAGGCCTCCTGACTCAGATCCCAATCTAGCCTGCAGTGCAGGGAGCAGCTGTGCTCTCCTGAACACAGCTCAGCGCCCTGCTGGGAGCTCAGCCATTCTGCATCTTCAGGCTGAGGGAGGCCCAGGTCCCCACTTGGACCTGGGGATATGGGAGCTGGGATATGGGAGGGACATATCCTGGCTGCCTTCCCTGCTACCCTACACGGCTCTGGGAGGAGAGGCTTCCCATTCTTGGAAACTTGCGATTTTCTGGCCATGACCCGCCATATTGGTGAGGCTGTTTTGCTTTCCTGGTGAAGCAAGGAGGTTCCAGGCTAAGAAACTTCAGGTTAAGGGCTGCAGGTGTAGCTGAATGTTAAAGCCTTGGAGTTTGAGACCAGCCTAGGCAACTAGACCTTACCACAGATGGGAAGGGAAGAGAGGTGTACACAAGCAGGGACGGGATGGGCAGCCTGCCTTTAGCATTCTGCTGGATGCACAGTCTTGGTGGTAGGTGGGTTGGGTGGGAGCCAGGGGCTAGGAAGGAAAATGAGAGGGGGAAGGGTCAGGGAGCTATAAGCCATCTGATAAGCAGTCCTGGGCCTGGGGCAAAACCCAAGGGCTACCAATCTGGGTTGTAACTTTCCCTCACACTGTCTCTCGTGCATGGGTCTGATGACTTGACCTCCTTAGTCCCAGTGTTGCTGAAGGAAAGGAACCAGGAAAGCACTAAGCTTGGGCTGGTCTCACCGCCCAGCAGAGTCCTTATCATGGACAGCTGTTACTGTGCACTGAGTCCTTATAGCTGGGTTCCTGATGCAGGGCTGGACACATTGGGACAGTTATATTGTAGCCACTACATTGTAATTACTGGGCAGGAAGTTGGCCAAACATTGGGGCTGAAGAGTTGTCATCTTGTGTCCTCCACAGGCTAGCACTTTGCTAAGTGAGAGATGTGTGACTTGAGCTGGGGAGCTGGTGGCTCATACCTGGAACCCTAACTATTCAGAAGGCTGAAATTGGAGGATGGTAGTTCAAAACCAGCCGGGGCAGTTAACTCCGTGAGCCTTTTATTTATTTATTTTTCTCATTAAACACCAAAAATAAAATAGAATAAAAAAATACTAGAAGTGAAGCCATGGCTTTGCCTTAAGTGATAGAGTGAGAAAGCTAGGGGACAAGACACAGACACAGACATACACACAGACACAGACGTACACACAGACACAGACACAGACATACACACAGACACACACACAATAAATAAAGCAAAACAAAACAAACAGCAGTGTCTAGGAGAACTCAGAAGTTTGCAGAAACCTGCTGTGGGCTGCACCAAGCAGACCACCACTGCATCTCAGCAGACATTAGCTGGCGCCCCGCCTACCAGACCCTCCCACCTTGACTCCCCTGCTCTCTGTCCACAGGCTGCTCAACCGGATGTCCGCAGACGACCGGCTCCTGGGCTCCAGTTGCAGCTCTTTCATCAAGACGGAGCCGTCCAGTCCGTCCTCGGGCATTGATGCCCTCAGCCACCACAGCCCCAGCGGCTCGTCCGACGCCAGCGGTGGGTTTGGCATGGCCCTAGGCACTCACGCCAATGGTCTGGACTCGCCACCCATGTTCGCAGGTGCAGGGCTGGGAGGCCCTGCCTGCCGCAAGGGCTACGAGGACTGTGCCAGCGGCATCATGGAGGACTCGGCCATCAAGTGCGAGTACATGCTCAACGCCATCCCCAAGCGCCTGTGTCTCGTGTGCGGGGACATTGCCTCCGGCTACCACTACGGCGTGGCCTCCTGCGAGGCTTGCAAGGCCTTCTTCAAGAGAACCATCCAAGGTGCGTGGTGGTGGGCCGAGCAGTGGCTGGGTGCAGGTGTGGGGGGGGCGGTGCTTCCAATGGGGTCAACTCAGGTCTGGGCGTCCAGGAAACAGATTCTCCTTTGCTATCACTCAAAGTTCCCCTGTATACGATTCTGGGACTTTTTCAACAGTTGCGGGCACCTGTCTTTACCGGAGCTCAGAAATGCATGACAATCCACACTCGTGCCTAGCCCTAGGGGTCTGTCACCTGTACAGTGGCCAAATGCGTGCCCTGCAGAAAGCTTATTTTTCTGGGGCGAGAGGAAGCATTATTTGCTTTGCCCCAGTGTAAGTCTATTGGCAGTGTTGAAGTTGCTAGGAAAGCACTTCGCCCTACCTTACCCTTTGAGCCACACCTCCAGCTCTTTTTTTTTTCCAGTCCTGGGGCTTGAACTCAGGGCCTGGCTGCCATCTCTTTCTTGCTCAAGGCAAGCAATCTACCACTTGAGCCCCAGTGCCACTTTCAGTTTTCTGGTGATTAATTGTAGGTAAGAGTCTCGTGGACCTTCCTGCCTGGGCTGGCTTTGAAACACAATCCTCATATCTCAGCCTCCTGAGTAGGTAGGATTACAGTCATGAGCCTGTGGCTCTCCACCAGCCCCCAGTTTTTATCTTCTTTAATTGCACAGGTTCGTGACTATTTTGCCTTGTTGAAGGCTCTAGGCTTGTTCTCTAGGTTATAGGAACTAGCCTTGTTGTGTTCCTATTGTGGCCTATCTTTAGGCCATTTAAAAATATATTTGCATATCAGTCCTGCCACTGCCTTTTCCTGAGGGCCCTAGAGTGATTCCTTCTGCTAAAGCGTGCACGGCTTCCTGCGATTCTGCAGGTTCAGTTGGGGGTAATGGTCCATCGGACATCACAGGGCTGTTTCAGAGTTCACTGTGCAGAAAGGCTGCTTGGTTATTATTGGAGCAGGTCTAGGGCACCTCCACACACTCAGCCAGCCTAGCTCCTGAATGACTACTAAGCACCAAGCAGTGTTCTAATTGCAGGTGACAGTACTACACAATCGAGCTGGGCACAGAGCTGGAGGAAACCCTGGAGGCTCAGTTGTACCCCATTGGATCCCTCCATGGCTCAGCCATGGTCCCTAGAGGTCCTCTCTTCTCCCTCTGTGCCATTTGCCTTTTGGAAGAAGAGGCTGGGCATCCCTGGGATGATTTTGTTTATTATTGGCTAAAACTTGTTTCTTTTTTGCCAGTACTGGGGCTTGAACTCAGAGCCTAGGCACTGTCCCTGAGCTTCTTTTGCTCAAGGCTATCACTCTACCATTTGAGCCACAGCGCCACTTCTGGCTTTGTTTTTTTTGGTCGGTCATGGGGCTTGAACTCTGGGCTTGGGAACTGTCCCTGCACTCTTCAGCTCAAGGCGAACACTCTACAGCTTGAGCCACAGCTCCACTTCTGGTTTTCTAGTGGTTTATTGGAGATAAGAGTCTCACGTGGACTTTCCTGCCCTGGGCTGGCTTTGAACCATGATCCTCAGATCTCAGCTCCTGAGTAGCTAGGATTATAGGTATGAGTACAGGTGCCTGGCGACTTCTGACTTTTTCAGTTCCTGTGGTACTGAGGAAGCAAACCCTGAGCTTCAAACATGCTAGGCAAGCACTCTACCACTAAGCCACATTCCTAGTCCTGGTTAAAATTTCTTCAAATGAACAATCTATTAAGCTAGTTGAGGGCATTAGAATTGGACATGCTTTAAAAAAGAATTGGAAGTCAGGTGCTGGTAGCTTATGCTAGTAATCCTACCTACTCAAGAGTCTGAAATCTGAGGATCAAAGTTCAAAGCCTTCCCTGGCAGTCAAATCTGTGAGCCTCTTATCTCAAATTAACCACCAAAAAACAAGAACAAAAACATCTGAAAGTGAAGGTGTGGCTCAAGTGGTAGAGTGCTACTAGCCTTGAGCAAAAAAGCTAAGGAGCAGTGCCCAGGCCAGTACTGGCTTGGGCTATCCAGAATTAGACCTGGGTTACCTTCTGGGTCAGAGGGTTCTTGCTGGGCTTGCTGGCTCAGTTTCTCATTTCAGTTGCTTCATCTGTAAAGTGAGACATTGTTCTTAAATCATCTAGAGACCCTGTCAGAAGATAGAGGGAATTAATACACAGACAGACACACACACACTTACCTAGAGTATTGTCTGGGGCCTAGGAAGTGCTAAAAATGAATGTTTACAATGATTACTTTCACCTTAATACCACTTAAGACTCTGTTACGAAGATAACACAATTCGATCTTACAGAAAAAGAAGCTTTTATAATCTACATATCTTTAAATCAGTGCAATTATTATTTTCTTTCTTTCTCTCTTTCTCTCTCTCCCTCCCTCCCTCCCTTTCTCTCTCTTTCTCTCTTTCTTTCTTTATCTCTCTCTCTCTCTTGCTTTCTTGCTTTCTTTTTGTTTGTCATGGGGGCTGAACTCTGGGCCTGGATGCTGTCCCTCAGCTCTTCAGCTCAAGGCTAGCGCTCTACCACTTGAGCCACAGCGCCACTTCCGGCTTTTTTTCTGCTTATGTGGTGCTGAGGGCCTCATGCTCATGAGCCAGGCATTCTACCATGGAACCAACTTCCCAGTCCAACAATTAATATTTTCATCTAATAAGATTTAGATAATCTTACCTATTTTAGTTATGAATATTGACTGAATCTCTAAAAATATGGTAAAGGATGGGGGTATTGCTCAAGTGGTAAAGTACCTGCTTAGCAAGGTACTAAGCATGAAGTGCTGAGTTCAAAGCTCCAGTAAAAATTCAAACGTGGTGAAAGAGGAAAAGCAACTTTTACTAACCCCCCAGACCTTAGTTTCATTATCTCTCCTGGAAGGAATCCTAGTCCCAGCTTTACCTAGTAAATATTTATTTAGCTTCTTCTGTATTCACTTTGTGTTAGCCTCGAGGGCATCCAGGAATGCATCCTGGGCTGGGTCAGCTTTTCTTTTTCTTCAGCAGTGGAGATGGGTCCCAGGGCCTGGTGAATGTTAGTTACCTGCCAGCCTTCCATTGTCTGCACCTTCAGGAGGCCCTGGCATCTTCAGTAAAACACATTATGGCAATTTTTTTTTTTTGTCAGCATGGGACTTGAACTCTGGGCCTGGCACTGTCCTTGAGCTCTTCAGCTCAAGACTAGCACTACCACTTGAACCACAGCACCACTTCTGTTTTTTTGGTGGTTAATTGGAGATAAGAGTCTCACAGACTTTCCTGCCCAGGCTGGCTTTGAACCGGGATCCTCAGATCTCAGCCTCCTGAGTAGCTAGGATTACAGGTGTGAGCAGCCATCGCCCAGCTCATATGATAGCAATCCTGTTTCCTGTCTCAGCAAGACTGAGACCCCCTTAGAAATGATTGTGTAAATCAATTAATATTTGACCACATGAAATATTTTAACCAATTTAAGTCACTGAAACAACTCCCCCCCCCATCCAAATTGGTGAGTTTTCATTATTTTAAACAATCTACAAGATCAGTGTTTAGAAAATTGCAATTAAGAAGACAATCAGATTTTTTTTTTCTTTTCCAAACTGCTCTTCAATGGGGCTGGAACATTCTAGAGCCCATTTTTCTGGAAGCACTGGCTGCTGTTTGTAGACTCATAGCCCCTGCTGCTCCCTCACTGGAGCCCAGGCTAGCTGAGAATGTTCTGAGCCAGTTTGGAGTCTGAAGGAAAGATGTGTAAATAGTCTTAATTATTTTCTACCAAGAAGAGGATACTGATCTCTTCGTAGAATTATTAGACAAACAGGCTTGTTACCAGCAAGAGCCTGTCCTTCAGACCAAGGAAAGCAAGCTTGAAGGCAGATAGACTGCTCAGGTATTTACAGTTTACTTTTTGATTTTGTTCTAACAGATTTAAAAAAAAATTTGTTCTTTTTAAATGTCATTGTAGAACATTTGGAAAACCAAAAACCAGAAGTATACAGCTAGAAAAAAAAAAGACCTATGTTAGAACCACTAGAGACAAGTTAAGCCAGGTGCTAGTGACTCACACCTATAATCCTAGCTACTCAAGAGGCTGAGGTCTTCAGGTCAGGGTTCAAAGCCAGGTGGGGCAGAAAAGTACAGGAGACTCTTATCTTCCAGTTAATCACCAGGAAACTGTAAGTGGCACTGTGGCTCAAAGTGGTGGAGAGCTAGCTTTAAGCAAAAGAGCTCAGGGATAGGGCTTAAGCCCTGAGTTCAAGTCTCACAACTGACCCCCAAGACAGTCTAAGAAATGAAAAATGAGTTAGCATTGAGTCTTGCTTTGTGTAAGGTACAGAAGACAGAATGGGGTCATGGATGCTGTTCCCAAAAAGCTGGATTGCCATGGTTAGTGATCCTGAGTCTATGTGTACAATCAGGGACCAAACTGGGAGGACATTTAGCTCTCTCCCCTCCCCTCCACTGAGGTACACTCTCAAGCCCCCAGGCCATTAAAAAAAAGTTTCTCATATATAAAATGTATTAGTCTTGGGAGGATCTATTCCCCAGTGTATGGAAAGAAAGGCTCTGGAAACCATACTAGCTCCCATCCTACCTCAGGTGTTTCTTTCTTTCTTTTTCTTTTTCACGAGTACTGGGGCATGAACCTAGGGCCTTGGTCCTTGGTGGTCTCCCTTGGCTTTTTCTGTTCACAGCGGTCACTTTACCACTTTAGCCATGCCTCCAGTCCCAGTTTTTGACAGGTTCACTGGAGATAAGTGTCTGGTGGACTTGCCTGCCCAGGCTATCTCTGAACTGAGATTGTCAGATATCAGCTTCCGGAGTGGTTAGGATTATAGGTGTGAGTCATCAGAGTCTGGTTCTTGTGTCTTGAGCCTGCTCAACCCAGCAGTTATAGGAGCATGTGGAGAATATTTACATTGCAGAAACAAGTATGTCATGGAAGAACAGACCGTAGGGTGAAAGGCCTTAGTCCATCCTCCTCAGATTGGCTAAGCTGGGTGCTAGCCCAGTGTAGGCAGGGTGGGAGGGGAGGCTGGGGAATGGGAAAGATG